GTGTGTGTGTGTGTGTGTGTGTGTGTGTGTGTGTGACGTTGACACGTGAGTGAAGGCGTGAAGGATGTCACCGAGCCCCAGGACCAGCGGGGCCCTTCCCCTTCCTGACTGCGCCGTGGCTGCTGTGATGGTGGCCGTGGCTCAGCTTGGTGTGGGGGCTCAGGGTGGGCCCGGGTCCYCCTTTGGCGTGAGGAGAAGAGCTCTGACTGGGCTTGAAGGCGGGACTGCTCCCCGCCCGGGCCAGAGAGGGCTGCAGAGGGCTGGAAGCTGAGAGGCCGGCTGAGAGGAGGGGCAGAAAAAGAAACGCTTCGATTAGAAAGCTAATTTCTAAACACGGGGTCTGAAAGTCTAAACTGAAGCTGGGATATAACAGAGTACTGCCATGTACCAGTAAAAATATCTATACTTAGCACAAAAGTAAGGAAATTTGTGTTTGGTCGATTATTTCTTTGTTGTAACAATGCTTTTTGGCAACAAATTTTATAGGGGATTCCTTATGTGGCACCATTTAAAAGGGAAATCAAAGGGAACCCCGACTAGTTGCAAAACAGACTGTAAAAATATTGCAAGCTGTTTCATAGCTGCTTCATGGAAGAAGAACCTCAGCTTAGTCTGTTAGCTTTTGCGTTAGCGCCCGAGCTAATAATGTTAGCTTGGGAACTAACGCCGTATATATTGTTACAGGTTTGGCCTGGATTGTTAGTCAAGTCAAGTCAAGAATCTTTATTCTCCCGAAGGGGCAATTTGTTGCACAGCCAGTAGACATAAGAACAACAAGAACAAAAACATTCACGCATAAATACACAAAAAATACAGATGTTTATTAAGAAATTGAACTACTGCTGGGATATATGAGTTTTTAATGATGTTAGACCTGGCAACCCTCACTGTGTGTGTGTGAGTTGTTTCTCCGTGACAGAGAGAAGAGAGGGAGAGTTATTAGTGCAGCTCTGCTATTTTTTGTATTTGTGTGTTAAGGTTTCCTTTTATTGTTTAATAAGAAAGAGCTCTGACAAGGCAAGTGGAGTCCCCAATTTTTGTGGTTACCTAAACGAGCTGGACCAGTAGAAAAAGTTAACAAGACTTTTACTACGATATGAGACCTTGTCCACCTGTGAGGTCAGCAATAATACATATTATTAATAAATATGTGGCATTAGTTTATATATAGATAAGGTTAAATTGCCATATAGAAATGTACTAACTCATATGCTAACGTTATGCTGCTACATATGTACATATTAGCTCATTTGCTAATGATATTGTCATATAGATATGTTTTAGCTCATGTGCAAACATTATATTACCATATAGATATGTATTAGCTCATGTGCTAATGTTATATTACCATATAGATATGTATTAGCTCATGCGCTGGCATTATATTACCATATAGATATGTATTAGCTCATGCGCTAATGTTATATTACCATATAGATATGTATTAGCTCATGCGCTAATGTTATATTACCATATAGATATGTATTAGGTCGGGCTTTAACGCGAAAGCTAACAGGCTAAGCGGAGGTTCTCCTTCCATGAAGCAGCTCTGTTGTCCTCCATCCACATTTTCACTTTCAGGCTGAGTCGTTTCTATATTCTCCTCTCTGACAATGCTCTCTGGCTTCATTTAAAAGGATTGATCGTCAGATATTGTCCAAGATTAACCTTCAGGGTGGATAGCTCTCACTGGCAGCTATGCACGGGAAAACTTAGTGAATGTCTTCATTTATCTGGTATGCTTTGCAGCGTTAATGAAATGTCGTTGTCCGTGTGAAAATATATATTTTAAAATTTATAAACCCTAAACATAATTGTCTTTACTTTTTGTCCGAAGTTTATGTCCTCCAAAACCTCTTTAGAAACAAACAATAGCTTTTATTTGTGGTTTGTAATCTGAGTCAAGGTGTTTCTTTTCCCTGAACAAGAGTCTCAGACTGTGATGTTTGTCCAGGTCAGCAGAAAAAAATGCCACATGAGCAGAAAGCAACACCCACACAGAGCTGTGTCGATGAGAGAAAAACTATTCCTACGAGTCGACTAACAGAGCCTAAAGATAACAAATGGCCAAAGATAACATGGTTTTACCGGGATAGAGTAATATTTTTCTAAGAGCTATTAGCTGAAAACTTGGCATAAAGTAGACGATCAACTGACGCATTTCTCATGACTTTGTTGGAGTTGATTTTCTCCTGCTTCCTAAAACCATGACTTGCAAAGACACACTGTAAAAACTGTTCATGTGTTGTAGAAAGGCTTTGTTCGTAAAAGGGACACACTGTGCCAAAACGTATCAGCTAAAAGGGCTTCACCAGGTCAGTGATGGGAAACTTAAATGATGGAAGCAGACAGYTTTTTTGTTGACACTACCAGAGGGCCATGTAGCGTTGCACGATTTCCCAAATGTAATAAAATGGCCATTTCAAATATGTTTGTGTATATATTTGTTTATTAAACCAATATATGGTACAGTAACCTAATGTATTTCATGCTCAAATGCAGTGGTGGGCAACGCTAATCCAAAAATTAGCTCCACGATTTCTAAAGCGCTTATGAAAATATTTAGGACCGCAACTTCAAACGTGCTTATGCCATAGAAAAACTAGCAGAAGCTAATTTTAAAGCGCAAGTTCAATTTGACACTAGCTGGCAATAAGTCATGTACAATATATACACAACACTGCCATCTATCAGTGTATGAACCCTTTTACAGCTTAATCCTACAACCGCCGATTGCTGGGGATGTGATTTCCTGAAACAGAACTTTGGCTCCTGGTATAAAAATTAAAAAGTTGTTGAGGATTGCTAGTTCGGCTGCTTCTTTGTCTTTTTCTTTTGTTTGTTGTAGATTTTTCATTAAAGAAGCATCAATAAAGTAATTTTAAAACTGTTTATTGGAAAACTGAAGCGATGCATTCTGGGTACATGACAGATTTGATTTGTGATGGGAAACGTAAGCACGGAGTAAAGGAAACTATCTTCCCTTCAAAATAAGAGCTTGGATTTTAAAGTTTTCCATGTAGTTGCTCCAGTTGACCACTAGATGTCAGTCTTCATCAGCATAACATCTTTAAATCATTTCTGAGTCTCTAACCCTATTGGCCGATTGCTTCGACCAATTACGTCAAGTATTGAGCTCCAGCGTTTAAACTTTTTTTAATAAAAGGAGCTCCGATTGTAAAGTAAAATAAATCAATAAGTTCAAAATTTTAGTATGGATTACAAACGTTAACTGTTTTTACTGGGACAGGGAGTTCTAAACATTGCCTTCCTGCTACGTAAGCAGACACAAAGCCTTGTGGGAAATCAGAACCGTGGCCGAATGCAACAGTCCACAAGGATGTTTACCTTTCCAATAAGTGTGTTTATCTGTGAGGGGTGCTGTTGGACAGATCACGTGTTGTGATTCATTGACAGCCATACCTTCCGCTGTTCAAGATAATGACTGGTAGATAATTAGTTATTAGTAGTACTGCAGTTTAATTTTAGAAAGCGCAAATCCGCTTATGAATTATAAAAATTATTAAGACCGCTAAAGCGCAAACAAAATAATTAGGTCCGCAATTAGCAGATTTGCGCTTTATCGGGCTGGTGCCCACCACTGCTCAAATGCATGAATAACAGTTGTACTCGTTTAATAAATATGAATAAAAATCTCCTGCGTAGTTGTGATTCTGGTAAATAGTATATGTAACTGCTGATGTTTACTAACCTTTGGAGACACTGTAGCCGTAAGCAGCATAAGCTGCAGCTGAAGCGGCTGCTGCTCCGGCCATGGCTCCGGCCATAGCTGCTGCGCTCCCGGCTGTGGACTTCCGCCCGCGTCCTTTCCCTCCAGACTTAGCCCCGCCTCCGGAGCCTTTGGGCCGTCCACGACTCCGACTGGACCTACCTCTGCCGGGGCTGATTGTGTCCGAGGCTGAAATACCTAAAGGCAAAAAGAAATAAAGGAGGAAGCAAAARAGTGATTTATTGTTTTTTTAAGAATACATATATTTCCTTTAACACTTTGAAAGTCATTACAGATAAGGTGAAGCAAAATCCCCATTAACGGAAATTAATTTGATGTCTCTTTATATATATATATTTTTTTACAGTTCTGAAACAAACATCTATCTCCTCTGATCTCCTCACCGTTCATGTTGTCAGAAACCGAGCCGGAGATGGAAACTGGGGAGTTGGTGGCGCGAGACTGAGGCGCGGAAGAAACCGGATCGTCCACGATGACCAGCATGTCGCTGCTGCTCTCGTCTGCGTCGGCGTCCGGGGGCAGCGAGCCGGGCTGGAGCTCGCTGCTCAGGGAGATCTGCCCAGACACGGGAGGACACACAGACATGGACAAAGGCTGGGGGTCAGGAACCAGGTCAGGAACCAGGTCAGTACAGTGAAAAAGGGTGGCAAGAATGGAGACGGTGTAAGGAAGGAAAGTAAGGAAAAAAAGAAAGGAAAGGAAGCAAAGGACAAGAGGGAATTTTGGATTGAATGGGGTATAGAAAGTAAGAGGTGATTAAAAAGTTGAAATGAAGCAAAGGAAGAGGAAAATAAACAAAATTAAATTAAATGACTTTAAGTAGACGCAAAGTGGAAGGCTGTGGAAATAAAGGTAAAAACAACCGAGGCACTCAACTGTAAGATAAATCTACTCTATTTTACTGGTGGTTTTCACTTTAATGAACACATTTCTCACACACACACATATATATATATATATATATATATATATATATAAACACACACAACCTTGTATTTATATTCTTAATAGTACCGTTCACTGACTTCCATTCTTTAGTCATTTCTGTAGCCTAGCCGTGACCCATACCCTAAACCCATTGGTGGGCACAAATGACTCACAGACAAGAGTTACCAAATAACCTAACATCCAATTTTGGTCTGTGGGAGAAAAGTACCCAGTACTCTGGTTACAGTTCAGAATTGGGTCATAGTATACCCCAACTCTCTCATGTTGTCCCCCTCCTACAATACTGTTATTGCAAGTTTGACTCAGCCCCCTGTGAGCAAAAGGTGTGAGTCGGCCCCAACACAAAGAGGAAAAAAGACAAAAACAAGGGGACGTTGAACCCTGCTTGCACTCACTACATACACATAACACGACACCAAATAACCACAGCCGAAGCATCCAAACCAATAAGTCAGGTGATGGGGCACATGACCCTCTATGAACAATAGAGCTAATCAAGCCTATTGTTAGGCGATGGCCCTCTTTTGCATCTGACTAACCTGTTTGTCCATGTGGAGGCAGTGCTTATAAGGCTGAGTTCACCTGAAACTCATCAGACTGAAGAAGTCTCTTGGAGGAGAGACTAAACATTTCACTAAAGAAGAACCCATCCAGAGGATTTTCTTTTTGACTAACACAAGATTACAATTTTTTATCRTCACAACAGAAAAGACTAGCTTTAGCAGAGTCTCTGTCAGTTTTGTTTGTATATAATCTGTAATACAAAGAGTGAAAAATGTTGACTTGATCATGCTACTAGCTTGTTGGCCACTTCAATAATTTAACCTCCAACCTTAAAATATGATCTTTCTTTCAAATCCATCAGAGTTACCTTTAAGACTAGACTAGATAATAATAAGAATACATGTTTTTTCTTTTCTTGAATAGTTTAGTTGTAATTTTAACTAAATGTGTTATAAACTATATACAGTATTTTCATTGTTTACATGAATGTGGTCTTTTATGCCCCTTTTCCATGGTGTAGTGTTGGAACGGTTGGTGTAGGTACGGGTCGGACCGGTTCGTTTTCCACTGATGTTCCAGTCCGGTTCCAATGGGTGTGTTTTGGGCGGTTGGTGGAAGTGGTTTTTAGGTTTTTTTGAAAAAAAGTTAATGGTCAAAATGAAATATGGAAGCACATTTGATGAATAATTTTTGAAATTTTAAAAATTTGCAAAAAAATTTAGCCAATCAGTGACGAACAGTGTTCTGACGTCGCATTTTGGTGTCAGCTGGGGCCAGTTGGAACCACAATGAAGTAGGTACTAAAAAAAAGTGCCGGTGCAATGGATCTGGCCTAATGGAAATGGCTTGGAACCGTACCGACACTACACTAAGTGGCACTAGTGGAAAAGGTTATTTTGTCTTAAAGTGTAAAAATAAAAATAAACATTAAAACTTGCTATATATTTTTAGTTTTATGTCACCCCACTGGCAGGAAAAAGGCCCCCATTCAAGAAACTCGAAATTGCCCATGAACCACCAGTTGACAACCACGTGCAGCATGTTTTGTAGCTCTGCACACATTTTATTAGTGAGCCAAGGAGCAGCAATGGCTCTTTTGATTGTAAAGGATGTAGGTCCCTGTCCTGATTCGAACCCCCCAAAAATGGCATTGCACCAAATTAGGAACGGACTTTGGTCTTTTAAAAAAACTACTGGTCCAGACAAAGTAGGTGTTTATACCAGATAAGGTCCTAAAACGGTAACAAAAACCAGTTAYGCACAGATAAACAATTCTCTCACCTCACTGAAAGGACTGGGCATGGCTGAGTCTAACTCAACGCTGATGAAGGAGTCGTCTCCGTCCGCCGACAGGTTGGAGTTGTCAGCCGAGGGGGCGTGGGGGATGACCAGGTTCGCCTCCTTCTTCCGTTTGTTCTCAAACTCCTCGTTCTTCTTCTGTGGGTTAGAAACACACAAAAAACAGCAGGAGGTGAGGCGATGTGGGACACGAGTCCATAATTTAGTTTTGACATTAATGCCACTTTTGTCATTTAAAGCAATATCTTGACTCTGGTACCTTCTCAGCGTACTTCTCCCTCTTCCTCTTTCGCTCCTTCACCTTGCTGCTCTCCTCCTGCTGCCTCTTCTCCTCCTGCCTTAGACGCACTGCAGGAAAAGACACAAGGCTTTCATTTAATTCCCTCCCTGCAGCCGATGTAATTACTTTTATGATTAGTAAAACGTAACTGTGAGAACTTACGTTTCTTCTCCAGCTCATCATCGTCCAACAGCAGGCTGACCACCTCTTTAGGCTTGAGGGTATCGGGTTTAAAGTTACCTCCAGAGATGACCACCCTTTGTATCTGTTTACATGAGAACATTAAAGCTTTAATACGCCAATTATTACATATTTACATCAGATAATATTGAAATTTTTTGATCTTCCTTTAGTGACTCAAATCATCGAGATAAMCTCTGAGATCATTTTTTGTTTTGTCGTTTGTTTTATAAAACTAAAAGCTCTATTTTCAGACCTCGCTCTTCTCCTTGGCGCGCTGCAGGATCCTCTCCTCGATGGTGCCCTGACAGATCAGGCGGTAAACGGTGACTTGTTTGGTCTGACCCAGTCTGTGAGCCCGGTCCATTGCCTGCTGGTCCACTGTGGGGTTCCAGTCGCTGTCGTAAAATATAACCTGGAGGAGCGGGGAAACAAACTGTTTATTTGAACACCGAAGAGCCAAAAAGTGAAGCAGACACTCATTTCTATGTAATGTACTGTGTTATAATAGCCAGTCTCATTGAACAAAAGTAAAGGAACAAAAGGGATAATGGAAATTTATAAACATGCATATTATTTTTACAAGAATGTTGAGGTCTAAACATTGCTTGTTTCAGCGTGTCTTTGACTCACGGTGTCAGCGGCTGTCAGGTTAATGCCGAGTCCTCCGGCCCGCGTGCTGAGCAGAAACACAAAGATGTCCGTACTGTGGAGGGCAGTGGGACAAGAGAGACAAATATATTTATTCAATTAAAATAGTATGAAAAAAAATAAAGCCACAAAATGATACAGCTGCTTTAAAAACCTCCTTCGCTGAAAACAAATGTTTTTATCAGCTAGTGACGGTGATATAAAGAAGCAACAGATTCAACTGAGTTCAAACTAAAATGTGTGTAAAATAAAGATCCAAACAACAGCATCAGCAAACATTTGTTTATTTTCTCACATAAATCATTGTTTGTGTTTTTTTCTCCTTTGGTTGCCTACTTGCATCTCTTTCCAGTAACTCTATGCCCTGCAGTTTGAGAACCGCTGCTCCACACAAAAACAATGGAGGAAGAGTATAATCCAAAGCATGTGGGCTCCAAAAAGTACACAAACACAGACACACACATACGTTTATAATAATTGGACATTTGATTAAACTGTTTACTGATTGCTATAACATACGGAGAGGCAGACTTACATGGGGTTATTAGTGAAAGGGGATGTTTGGTTTCATTTACAGACATAAACAGAATCTTGACGGCCTTTTGACTTTACCCACCGGCTCTGGAAGTCAGCCACCATGTCCCTGCGCTCCGAAATCTTGGAGGATCCATCGAGACGGATGTAGGTGTGTTTACGATACACCATGTACTCCTGGAGGAGAAAAGGAAAGAATTAAAGAGAATGTCTGCAAAATCCCGTTAATTCTGCTGTTAGGAGGAACTGGAAGATAAGTCTGGGACTAATCCTTGTGTTTCGGTGCAAATATTTCTCTGAGGACCACAGACACCCGGCAGTATTATTCATTATGTTCCAAGACTTTAAGGAACATTGAACTTTACTGTAAGAAACTTCGCTTTGGTCCCAAATAATAAAATCCCACATTTCTTATTTGGATTTTTTTATTTTTTTGGAATTTAAAGTCTTAATCCAAACCCAGGAGGACAGGGAGAAATGCAAACATTGGTACACTGATACTCTATTCCCCATTGAACGCCTGCTAAGCTGCTCTGTGTGTCTGTGGGGGTGTTAGATTGGATGTCTGTTGAGGGGACACAATGATCCCTCTTGAAGTGCTGCCCTGAACTTGCGACCTAATATAAAAACCTGCCCCCTCTCCCTTCCCAGAACAGATGAATCTATCACAACCAGTGACACTCATCACAGCTCGACTCATACAGTCATCGCAGATCATATCAATGATTTGACAACATGTTTTTGGTGACCCCATTTGAACCCCCCCCCGCACACACACACCTTCTCCCGTCATGACACCCAGGCCCCCCGGTCCCACCAGGGCCTGCCCTCTGTCTGTCAGTTTGGCTCTGTTCCCAACGACCCCATCTGCTCTGAATGAACACTGCATTAGAGACCATTAGTCCCAATGGCCTCCAAAATGCTTCTGACATCTTTTCTGCATGTTGTTGCTAAAAACAAATTTTTAAAAATCATCCAAATCTAAACATTATGAAATATTTTAGACTGGTCTTGATCCTGCACAGAAAACCCATAAACTCCAGAACTGTTTGATTTACCTCTGAAGTTGTAACTCATTACATGTGTTCAAGTTGCAAGTCAAAAAATAATTATTGTGCTCAGTAATCAGGATAACTACTAATGTTGATAACACAGGGCTTCTTTGAGTTCTGTGCAATCAAACACTGTAACATGTATGCAGTATTTCTTTGATAAGAAACTATGGGGTGCCATTTGTAAAGTTACACAGTCAAGCCCAAACAGAATCAAATATGGCTGCCGGTGGTGATAATCACTGCAATAAAACTTTAATTTTTTCACCACCTTTTGTATGGGGTGCCGACTGTAAAGCTACACAGTTACACAGCCTTTAATAAACAAAATAACAGATTTATTTTTCAAAGTCCATTTTTCATCATAAGATTTATACATTTATAAATGTCATAGTTTATAAACTAAATATTTAACTTACAAATTAAATATTTAGGTAACAAGCTAAATATTTAACTTGCGACTTAAATATTTAGTTTTGAGCTAAATATTTAGGTTGCAGCTTAAATATTTATTTAGCTAGCTAGGTAGCTATCTAAATATTAAGCTAGCTAGCTAAATATTTAAGTTAAATATTTACGTAGCTAGCTAAATATTTAAGTTGCAGTCAAAATATTTAGCTCAAAACTAAATATTTAAGTTGTGGGCAATATTTAGCTTGTTAACTAAATATTTAATTTGTAAGTTCAATATTTAATTTATAAACTATGACATTTATAAATGTATGAATCTTATGGTGAAAAACTGATTTTGACAAATAAATCTGTTCTTTTTTTCTTATAAAAGGCTAAAATAAAACAAAAATATTGGTGGTAATGTTTGACTGTGTAACTTTACAGTCGGCACCCCATACAAAAGGTAGTAAAAAAAATTAAAGTTTTATTGCAGTGATTATCACCACCGGCAGCCATATTTGATTCTGAGGTTGGGCTTGATCAGAACTCAAACTTACAGCGTCAGAATTCTAATTTCATTTAATTTTTCCAACTTTTCAGCAAACAAAATACACCATTAAACTTTATTTTCCCAAACGGAGAGAGACCATTCAAAGAGCTACAGTATGTGCAACAAAGTCACAAGATTGAGAACTACAGATCTAAGCTCGTACTTGTATTTTAAAGGGAATGTTTGTTATAAATAATGGTATACATTTAAATCACCTTTAATTGTTTGTGTTGTTCTTTGTCAACAAGCCTGATATGAATCTGAATAAAAAAGCGGGCTGACTAATAGTGGGAAAAACAAAAAGAAAAACTAATGTGCCTCTCCTGTTTCCAGACTAATCTACCTTTCAAACTGCATTTTTATTATAAGGAAAAAGGTTAACATTGGTTTATAATATGAAGTATTTGGATTGCTGTATCCTTTTCCATGTTGACTGATATCAGAGAGGCTGAAGGGGAAGTTTGTATTTTTTAAATCCCCAATAAAATCTTCTGCTGATTTTCTGGCTTGAGATTCAAAACAGTCGGGGATTATCTAGCCTGCAGTCAGACTTGTTCAACAATAAAAAGTCATTTAAGCAGCTGTAGATACACAACTTAGGGAGGGCAGTTACTTGGCAGTCGTTCTCAACTACTTGCTCCTGCCAGAACAAGCAAACAATGTTATTTTTCTTCAAGCCACGCTGATCCCGATGATCCATCACCCAGCGACGTGATGTCAGGAAAAGAACCAGCAGCCGCCAGGCGACAAAAAAAAATGATGCTATCGTACAGAGACTAGCACCAGGCTCTCCATCTGCGGGATTCTGGTTTCAACCAGTGAAAAAGACGATACAGAGACGGAGTGAATGGATGATTTCATTTCTGATTGTCTTCTGCTCATTAGGGGAGGAGATGCTGCCACACAAAGGCTCAGTCAAACTGTCTCATTGGATCAGAAAATCATGGTTAAATTCAACCAGGTTGGGGATTAGGGATTACAATATTTTCAGTTTACTTTACTTCAAAAATCCTTAGACTTTCAATCACATTTAAATAGTATCAGTTTGGTCCAAGAGACGAATATTATATTGTAACATTTCTGTACTGACACTAAGCAGCTCACGGCACTTATCCAATTTAAATAACATCCTTCTGTTTTGGTTTTGACTTCAATATGAAAAAAAATCACTCTAGTTATGTTTATGTGTTTGCTCCTATCCAATCCAATTTACCATCTTCCTCCTCTAACCTCCATTCCTTTCTCCCTCCACCTTCCCTCTTTCTTCACCATTCACACCCTTCCCCTCCCATCTGGCAGCCTCCCCTGCAGATGAGACCCCTCTAATTAGTCCTGACCTGATAATTAGCCACCTAATGGGCTCGCTAACGAGGAACAGGCAGCCTTATTAGAGGTACTGGAGCTCCAATACCCCGCTGGTAGAAGGAGGACCGGTGAGACCGCTTAGTTGGTACAAAAATAAACATAAATGTGAATACATAAACAAGAGATCGTCCTTAGCATCACTGCCAGGTAATAAGAGAGGTTGTGTGAATGTGTGTGTGTTCGTACCTCAAGCAGGTCAATCATGCGAGTCATTTGGGAGTAGATTAGGACCCGGTGTCCCTGAGCCTTTAGCCGGTTCAACAAGATGTCCAAAGTGTGAAGCTTGCCACTTTCTGTGATCAGGCTTTCCTTATCTAAAAAAACACACACAGTTGAAATGTTGGTGAATGCAACCAAATATTTAACTTTAAATTAAAAAAAATACCTAAAGCTTAACAAGTTGCACTATTCTCCCTAATCAAACACTTAATTTGTTGACAATATTATAATAATAAGACATTAGATATCAAATGCATTCTGAGTGACCAACTGGTATTTAAAAAGTCCTGTAAAAGTTTCCATTTGTATTTTTTTTAATCAGACTGAAATCCACGTTTCCATCAGAAAAAGTATGATTTATACTGATTGCACTGGTGAGAACAAAAAATACGCAGGATAATTAAAAGACATTAGAAGAAAGAAGCGTCTGCACTTGATTTGACATTATTGCCCAAAAAAAAGAACAAAGATGATTGGCAGCTGGTCCTTTTTCCCCTCACAGCTAACATCACAACAGGTGTTGACTCCTGCTCTACAAATGATAGACCAATGGGAGCAGTCTCGATCTGACCCTGTTACTGAAGTGGTTCTAATCATGTCCAGCTGATGAGGAATTAACTTCATCTGGGACAATGGTAGGATGTGAAAAGGTTGGGGCTCCCAGTGACCTCAGTGACAGGCACACTTTGCTGTTTGACCCAGAGGTCAGTGCTTTGAGAGAGAGGAGACCTTAAGACCAGGGGGTCAGGTGACACAGTCGGGGTCAGGGTTACAAGAGAGATCCCCCATGGGAAAGGCGGGCCTTTTTGCCCTCTAGTTGGACAAGGGCACTTTTTGTACAGAGAAAACTTATAAATATTTCCTAGTTGTACTTCCTTGCTTTTTCAATATGAATGTGACCAACTGTGCCAAAAACCATGTGTCATTCCTAAACACAGGGTCTGAAAATCTAAACTGAAGCTGTGATATAACAGAGTCCAGCCATTCAAAACAAAATTGTTAGATTGTTTCTTTGTAAGAATGCTTCTTGCCGATAAATCTACTGGACACCTCATTGGCAGCACCTGGGGGTACCAGAAGATCAAGGCAAGTTTCATTAGATAGTTCCCACAAGACCGGACCAGAAGGTAGTCAAACCAAAAGCTAGCCATTTTGATAGTGGTTCAGTAAACTCAGATACTCCTGAGCCCTACGAGCACTGTTATGAAGGTTTGATTTTCAGCCTTTTTTTCCTTAAATTTTTGTGAAATATGGCTTCTAAAAAGGCTGAATTGCATTACAGAGACGCAATAGATAGTTTGAAAATATTTGCTGTTATTGAGGTACGTGTAGGAAAAAGGCTAAATGTACTGTATGCAGAGTTGGACTTGCTACAGGAAGTCACGCACATTGTAAATCATGTAATTCACAAAAAAAGTGCAGATACTATGGGTAAACTATGGTCTTTGAACACAATCTACCAAAGCAATAGTGGCTGGTGAAAGATGTCAGGACACTAAAACTAAATTACCAATATACCCATCACAGATAAGTAAACAATGTTGTTTTGTCCATGAGCGTAACTAATTTGCTTTTAGATGTAATATGTTGGTCTTCATTTCTAGTCTCAAATTAGCATGAATGTAAGTTTAAATTGATGAAGAACAGAAATGTGCATTTAGATGTAATCACTTTGTTTTTTTATGTTGGAACTTTCTATAGCAACAGCACAATAAATTGTTTGGCAGTGGCAGAGAAGATTTAGTCATTTTTTTTTCGGGTGTGCAAACCACATAATCAGCTCTACTGCTCATCCCACAAATGCATGTTCCTTAAAAATGTGGCACCATTTAAGAGGGAAATTAACAGGTTTTCCAACGGTATAAAATTTGTCAATTTTTTTTTTACAAATTTAAAGGCACAGTGTGTAGGATTTGTTGTTTTCAGCGACATATAGTGGTTGAGTGTTTGAATAATCCTCCCTGGTCC